TTGCCTTTTGATCCCCTTATCACTCTGAACACGCTTCAGACTAATTGTGAAACTCAGCCACTTCTGCTCAGGGATTTTGACCTGCACTTGGAGAGGCTTATACCCAGGCTGAGCTAGTGCTAAAAAACCTCTCCATCCGTCCCTGGTGCCCTTTTAGGAACTGAGACATGTTAATTGCTCAGGGCTCCAATTCACATTCGCTCTTGGCTTTGTGTGCAGCAGGATTACACCCAGCACAGCGACTCAAGGCATCCTGTTTGTGCTAAATACCCTGGGCTGAAGAGCCTGCTGTGCCTCCAGTAGGGATATAAATCCTGTGGGGAGACAGGAGGAGACAGGACCCAGCTGGGGTGTGACCCCTGCAAGCCCCCACAAGTGCAGCAGCTCCAGGAAAATCTGCCCAAGAGGTGACTCAGAGCCCCAGTCCAAGCTCAGGTGCTCATTATACTTACTGGGACTGAACACGGTGGAGTAAGGGTGGTTCATGCCCAGGTGATCTCATGGATAACAGCTGGAATTGCTGGATTTGGCTCTTTTTAGTGTCATGGAGCTGCTTTCAATCAGGATGGGCAAGCGCTGAAAGTTCTGCTGAGAAGCAAATCCTGCTGCTGCCAGTGAGCTGTGGGTTAATGTCAAACTGAAGTTTTCTGACAGACAAATTCACAGAAATCCCAGAATGGTTTGTGCTGGAAGGGGCCTTAAAGATTGTTTCATTCCATCCCCATCATAAGCAGGGACACATTCCACTATCCCAGGTTGCTCCAAGCCCCATCCAACCTGGCCTTGGACACGTCCAGGCATGGGGCATCCCTGGAACTTCCTCTCTGTGCTGCTGTGAAAAACCACTGGTTTTTCACCTTCATGATCTTTTTTCCATTATCTTTATTACAAAGGGGCACATTCCAGTGTCCACACTCTCTGTGGCAGCCTCTGTTAGAAGGGACAGGGATGGAAACCCACAGGCTCAAGGTGGGGACAGAGGGCTCCATGGGAAGGGCAGTGACACCACTGCAGTGCAGGAGCTCCCAGCACTCTGTGACACTAAAGGGATTCCCAGGACTGTTCCCAGAGGAGCCACAGGACAGTTCTGGGCAGAGCGTGGCCTCCTTTGCTGTCAGAGCTGGGGAGCAAGGCTGGCTCCTGGATCTGTTAATTGTAACATTAGGGGATTTACTGTCTCACTTCACCTTGGGTATTTCCTGGCTGTCGCTTCATTTATGGTTCTAATCAATCTTGGGAAGAGGATTGTGAGAACCAGCAGCCCCCACATGCATTTCTTACACTCACCAGTAGCAGGGCAACTGAGAGAGAAGTTTTGTTAGCCTGCATTGTTGATACACGACTCTTTCTCTCCTTCCAAAGATCCATCTGGATTTTTCCTGTGAATAAGATCTTTCTTTTTGTTTCTATTTTGAAATCTTCAGAGGAGTTTGTTTTGAGCATTGTACTGGCTCACTCACCCCCCTGCATCCATTTTCCAGTTTGCCCAGTATTACTCAGTCAGTGACAAAAATAAAATTAAAGAGAACAGAGAGAACAAAACAGGGACAGCAGAGGTGGATTTTTTTCAGACTTAAAAAAGTTTTCACTTTTAACAAGGCAAATTTTTCTTTGTGAACACTTTGGCAAATCAAAATGTTAGAGAAACTCTGAGATATGTTAACTTGTGGAGAACATCCCAATGTTTTTTAACATTGATTTCTAGCAGCTTATTTTCTGGGGATGAGCAATTTAGAGCTGCTTCTCCCCTGTCTCCAGAGCTCTTGGGGCTGTCCTGGCTGCTCATGGAGCGAGCTGGGGATGTTGGCAGGCATTCCTACACCTGGAGCCTCCATTTTCACCTGGCAATTTGTCAACCCAGCAAATCCTTCTAAGGCATGTGGAACTGGTCACAACAAGTGTGCCAGGACTACCAGGAGTCTTCTCAAACAGCAGGTTTGTTCTTCTCGTTTGAGTCACCTCCTTTAAAAGGCCTCCAGTGACCTCTGAGAGATAAAAAAGCCATGATTAGGAATATTCCACAATTGCACAAGTGTCCATCTGCTCTGCTTTCTGCCACTCCTGGTGGGAGGCTCCAGCATCCCTTGGAGCCTGGGGATGCAGGGGGATGGTGCTCCTGATCAGGAAGGCTCCCAACTGCCTGGCTCCATGAGTCACCAGGAGATGGAGGAAGGAACTCTCTGAGATAAGAGTCTGCAAGGTTGTCACACATATGGCCAGACTAAATTAGTCTGGTGTGATGTAGCACAAGCCAGCTGTGAAACAAGGATCAGTACAGCTCTAAAGTCCAGGACTTTTCCCTCCAGGGATTTGGAAGGAATAGAAAAACATACCTGGGCAAGTAATTGCAGATTTTGCTTTTCTTCCTTCTTCTCCCCTCCTTCTTGTAAACTCATACTGCAAGTGAGCCAGAAATGGATGGGAGGAGGGAGGAAGATCAGACTTGCACAATGGCCAGTTTCTGGTAATGTTATAAAATGTGACCCTAATCCTGCTGTTCTGTAAGAGACACCAGGATATCACTTTCTTCCCTTCTGCACCAGGCCTGCAGATGAATCATTTGGCTGAATGGTTAGCTCTGTGCTCTTGACCTGCCTGCTGACTGTATTTTAGCCATTTCCACTGTGATGTGGGGTGTCCAGCACAGCCAGTTTCCTCCCAGTAACTCAGAGAGCCCAGAAGAGGCAGAGCCAACACGGGCAAAGCACACTTTGCAAGCACAGGGCATATGAACAGAGCCCTGTGCCATCTCTGATTCCCAAATGCTGGCACTGAATCATGGGATCAGTGCCTTGCCTTGGTGTTTGAGAGCAGTAGGCTCACCCTGGAGAAGGGGAAGGCAGGGATGTTCCTGGTTTTCATCTCTTTGTCCCTTTTTTTGCCTCCGCAGACGATGTGCGATTGTTCGGCTTTGTCCGATTCACCACCGGCGATGCCATGAGCAAGAGAGTCAAGTTTGCCCTCATCACCTGGATTGGAGAGGATGTCAGTGGCCTGCAGAGAGCCAAAACTGGGACTGACAAGACTCTGGTCAAGGAAGTAGTACAGGTAACCTCCTCCTTATGCTCCTAACCTGCAGCTCCCATCGCTTTTTTCTGTGCCAACACCAGCAGGAGGGAGAGAGAGGGAAGGATTGACTCATCCTCCAACTTAGGAGTTAATCCTTTAAAAAGAAGACAGTTTCCTATTGCCTGTCTTCCTCTTAGGAAGGCTTAACATCTGCCCTTTGAGCACTCAGACATAAAGAAGCACCTTTTGAGCTTAAGGCTGCCTTAGCTATTTCATGAGGAGGGAATTGCTGCACTCCCCTCCTCCTCACCACTGAGATGTCTCCCATCCCCTTCCTTGATATTGAAATAATTCACTGTTGAATGATCACGGTTAAGTTAAGCAGGTAAAATTAAACAGGAAAACCCACACCCTTGTTTAAACTTCTCCAGAGGCCTTTTGCCTTTGCACAGTGAATTTGTGGAGCTAATCACCCAAAGTCTGAAGTCCCTATGGTACCAATTAACCAACGGCTCTTAACAGCTAACTAGATGTGAACAGGCTTTGTTTGGCCTTGGGCGTAGCAGGGGAAAGAGAAATGTGCTCAGTCCAAGTGAGAACAAACAACAGCCAGGAGAGAAGTGACTCGTGGAAGGCTGCACAGAGCCACAGCTGAGACCTGGCTGTGATGGAGAGGATGCTGATGTTTGGAATCTTTAAAGTATTTAAAGCAAGGTTAGCTCTCCCAACGAAACAATAGAACCAGCTCACCAGAGCCTGAGAAATGGTTTTGTTTATGCTCTTGTGGAACAGGCTGATGATTAAATTAATCTCCCTCAATAACTGAGCTCTTGCCAGTGCAAAGAAATCTCCCAGGAGGACACTGTGAAGGGTGAGAATGAAGCCCCCCCTCAACTCTTCAGTAGTTTATATGATACAGATGATTACATTTAGAGAAGAAGAATGAAGAAGATAATACATTCCTGTCCTTCCAGAAGATAAACTCTAGTGCTAAACGTTTGAGAATGACGATTCAAAGGGGCCTGTTCTCCAAAGAAACTTCCAGAATGACACCTGAGAGATAGGAAAGCAAGTTTCTGCTCATGGGAAGCAGCTGAAATGGCATAATTGTAGCTGAAGATGAAATTATAGAGTACTAATGAATGACTCTTATATGAGTCACTAAGCCCAAGGTTTTCTTGAAAATCTGTTTAGACAATGTATTCCTGTTGAGTTGAATAGCATTCCTGAGCACTGTGCTCAGATCTGTCCCTAGGTCTGTTACATATAATTTGCAATTTCACTTGTTTCATCTTTGATTAGTAGTCTGTACAAGTTAATAATCTGGTGGAGCATTAACCATTCTTGGCTGTTACTTAAAAACTTTCATATTCTAGTTAGTCTGTACTAAAATATAAAAACAATACAACTGGTGCTCAATACACTTTTACTGAGCAACCTTCTCTATAAACCCCTGCAAAGCATTTCTGAATGTCACTAATGGTGATCTCCTCTCCAGAAAAAATTATCTTGACAAGTATTTTGAATAGTTCTTGATATGCAACTGAATCCCGCTGAGTGCAGTGAGATAAAAGCAGAACTATTTTCTCCTTTTTATGCCTGTGACCTTGCAGGTAATCTGTCAAAATAAACAAGGACAAGAAAGTCCAACTGAAATTTAATGGAGGGAGTTTATCCTAGAGCTATTTCAGTAGTTCCCTTGACCTTCAGGTACATTCTCAGCGTTCAGTTTTTTAGAGATGTAAAATTATTATTTGAGATGTGAATTATCCACAGAAAAATAAACTTCTTTTTTCTTTTTTTTTTTTTTCTGTAATAATGAACTACAAATCCGAGCCAGTGTTGGCTCATCATTTGGAAAAAACAATGCCTTAAGGTGGGAGTTTTTTAGTCTGCAAACCCTGAAGGGGTGCAGGTGCACTCACCCCATGGAAGGGTGGCACAAGGAGACTTTGTACAGCTTTGATCTGCACAAGGGACAGCCTGGGATTCCAGAAGAGCAGCTCTTCACTCTGAGGAGCCCTCAGCAAAACCTGAAGGGCTCTCACAATCTTGTACTCTTTGCCAAAGCACCTGTGGATATTTATTTAAGACCCGAGTGTGAGGAGATTCCTGCTTTATATCCTGTGCTGTGTTGATAAGCTGGGGCTGAGCTCTGCTCAGGGCTGAGCAAACACCAATAAATGTTGCTGTTCTGAGAGTCAAAGTGAAAGCCAGTCAGCTCTGGCACCTCCTGCCAGCACAACCCACCCTGGGATAAAGAGGATCCCACCCAGGGATGGTTAAAGGGCTCCCAGAAGAAGGAAAACACAAGGGACATGAACTGGTGGGGAGTGGATGATGGGCTGTGAACAAAGGGATGAACTGTTACAAAGCAGAGGGAGGAACTGGGCTGCCCTGGCTTTTGTGTTCCTCCCTTGGAAGGAGGAACAGGTGCTGTGAAATCCGTGGGGAGGTGGCTCTGGAAGCAGTGCTGATGAGTGAGTGCAGGAGGTTGCCAGAAAACCTCTCAGGAAGAAAGGACAATTGATTTTTAGCCGTAATAACTGTAAAATGACAGGGATGGATCTCATCTGCTACAAATATCTGTAGTTCTTCTGATCTGTGCTAGATGAGAGCCAAGTCTTCTGGCCCTACTTGGCCCTGTGCTTATTAGCTCTTTAATGTTGTTGGAAAATGGGTTTTGAGTTTATTGTATTTCTTTTGGATTGTAGAAAAGCCATTTAAGGAACTATCAGGAGCTTTTTTTTTTCCCCAGAGCCATTTATTTCTCCATCCTTTCCTCCTTAACTCAGCTGGAAATCTTGGCTCCAGCCTGCAGCAGTTCAGCTGGGAGCAGATTAGAAATAAGGCCAGGATGGGGGACAAGTATTTATCTGTCTCTTCTCAAGGGTCTAGCTAAGTCCTATATGTGAGACAGGGGGTGGACATCCCACCTTCTATCCACTGAGCTCCTCTCCACATCAGGGACAGGTCTAATGGGTGAAGAAGTGGCACAGAATTTCCCATTGCAGGCAGCTGCTTAAGATGTTTGGGAGAATTTCTGGGCCAGAGTCTAAACCTACCCCTAGAACAATGTAAACAACTGGGCTCACAGCTGTCACATCATGGAGCAGTGACTTCTGCAAGGCTGCATCTGTTTGGCAGCAGCAGCAGCCCTGTGTCACCTTGTGCACCCTGGCAGAGGTGCACAGAGAGCCACCCCCAGCACTGGTGGCCCTGCGAGCTGCATTTGGTCACAGACCCCACAGCAAGGACGAGCCCAGGCACAGGGCTTGTGGCACTGGGAGTGGCACCCGGTGCTGCACTGGGGTGGTTTTGATGTAAACACCACAGAAATGGAGACAGGACTTGCTTCCCTGTGAGTGTTCCTTCCTCTCTGAACTCTCACCCCTTCATGACTGCATTTCCTTCCAGGAGATTTTAACTCTTCCTTAGGCACCTTTGGGGTCATTTTCCTGACAGGGCTGAATTCATGTCCTGCAGGACTCTCCCAGCAAAGGGACTGCCCAATCTTTGCCAGTTTGTCAGATTTTCCATGGATTTTGATTCTTTTCTGTTTTCATCAGCACTCCTTCCCCCACAAAGTCATGTGCTCTGTTATTTCCCTAATTCATATTCAGGGTAAAACAGCTCTGTTTCTGTGAGCAAATATTCGAGGCATTTTATTCATCATTATTTTTGCTGAGGAATTCATCTGGCTTTTGTGATGTCAACAGCTCTACTGGGTTCCTGTTTTGCAGCTCACACCCAGATCTTTTTTCTTTTTTGCTCACCTTTCCCTTTTCCTCTGGATTTCTCACTGCACCGATGATGGTGTCCCATGAGGGAGTACCCACTGATGTGGGCCCTGTCCCTGATCTTGGGATCAAATTGAATTCCCTCTGTGTGCTTTGGTTTTCTCATATCAGTACAGAGTCCTGACCAGAAGATGAAATAGCTAAATTAAACCAGAAGGTTTAATAGCTTTGTTAGAGGCACTCAGGAAATCCAATTCACAGGGAGCAGCTATGTCACAGTGGCTTTGAGAGTTACTCATGAGGGTGAGTGAGATCCTGCTGGGAAGGCAGATGAAATTCTCTGAAATTCTCCTACTGGGCTGTTTTTCCTTGTTCTGGTTTACTGGAATGACCATACCAAATGGATATGGATTTACAAGAACTCCTGGTCTAGAGAAGAGGGTCAGAATCAGCAGCTTCTCCTCTCTCCGTGTCTGACACACAGACTTGTGACTCTTCCAGTGGGATGAAGCTCAGCAGGGAGAATTTGCAGAGCAGCTGAAATGCAGCTCCCATGGCTGAGACAAGTGTTTGCCAGAGGTTTGGGCTGGCTTCTCTCAGTGCCTGGAACGGCTCCATGTCAAATTGGCAGGAGTAGATTTGAAGAGAGGGTTTTTGCTGAGCTTGGAGTCTGACAGCTGAGTGCAGGAGCAGGTTTGCTGTGGGCCTGGGGCTCAGACCATGCTGGAAAAGAAACCTGGGAGAATCCACCTCCTCTGCACTGAGGATGAGGTGACCAGTGGGTGGGAGTGGTGACATTAAGCACAGTAGAACTGAGGATTCTGAACGTCAGCAGAGGCTGCTCCAAACCCCAGTAAAAACAAAATAAATAAAAAATTTCAAGAAGCTGTTCAGCTACCTGGCACCATCTGTAGCTGCTGAGAAGTGTCTGTAGACTACACAAGGATTTTACTCCTGGCTTCAGACTTCCCAAGCTGGGATTTAAAAGGGCCTCTGCAGACCTAGTTTGGTACAATATCTGCACCACACAGATTTTCCCGTGGGCAATTTAGGGAAATTTTATGGCCCATATGCTAAACATTCAGGGCTTGGAAGAGGAAGAATATCTACTCCACCCTTTTTTTTTCCCCCTTTAAGTTGGCTGAAAGAGAAGGATTGAGTTTTCCACACAAATTGCATTATTCCCAGGGAGGGATGCAAGCTTCTTTGCTCATGCATGGTTGGAGCCCTTTCAGTCTGTGCCTGGTGTGGCTGGCACAGGGGATGGGATTCCAAAATTGTGACCCTCAGGCACAAAGAGGAGCTGGTGCCAGAAAGGTGCATTGGACAGCCAGGAGTGAATCTCAATATTTCTGTGTGCTGTTCACTGATTTGAGAGGCAAAGCAAAGAGACTCTGGTCACTGTTGTGTTGTGAGAGTGATAAAGATAAATGGCATCATTGTTTTTGTTATCTGGAGGCTGCTGGTGACTGGGCTGAAGACAAAGGCTAGAATTCACTGGCAGGGCTTGCTGTGGTTGTAGAAAGCTTGGGGTTGGGGGGAGGAGAAGGGAAAAGGAAGTGGAGGATGTAAGATGAAGACACATGTCACCAAATCAGGGGCCCAAGCACCAGAGTTATGCACTGTGCCTCAGGATTTGCACCCTGAACAAAAGCTCAGCCCCAGAGAGCTCAGACAGTAAATTCAGAGTGATGAGGGAGGCTGTGGCTGGAGAAGGTCAAGCAGGATGTTAAAATCAGAAATTCCAGGCACCAAACTCACCAGAAGCATCTTCCCTCCTTAGGGCCAGGCTTGGGGAGACACCGTGGTGGGTTAGAGCTGGTGTGAGGAACCAAGGAGGACCCTGAGGGAATGGAATAAAGCAGAGTTATTAATAGCAGTGACCCAGATTGCACTCCCAGGGTACAAATCTGGCACAAGAGGTGGCCCAGTCAGCTAAGAGGATATCCAAGAGTGGCTGGGAGCAGAACCCAACTGGCCACTGCCAGGGGGATCCTGTTCATTCCTTGCAAGGTGTCTTGGTGGTGCTGGTGTGGAATGGTGGCTGATGCCCACAGACTCACCCAGGAGTCATCTGGAGAAGTGTCTACTTGAGAATTACTGAGTAATTCTATTTACTTTGTGGCACATATAATTAATTCTCCTCTGTTTGGGCACGAGTGCACTTGCAGTTTCAATTTCAGAATCAGCTGGATCCTGCAAAGTGGGCATTGAAAAAACTCTGCCCACACTTTTAAAATACACTTTTCATGGAATCCCTCTCAGAAATGCTTTTATGGATCTGCCTCAGTTCTCACTAAAGCAGGGCAAAGTCTCGCCCTGAAATCAGGTAGTCCTGGATAATCTGCTTCCCAAGGTGAGGAAAATTTGTTAAACCTGGCACCATGGAAAAGGAATTGAAAAGGCTCAGCTCAAAACTCACATAGGAGTATCAAAGTGCTGAAAATCCTGGGGTTGGTCTTAGCAAGAGCTGAGCTTTGCAGAGATCACCCTGGAGACCTGGAAGTAGGACACTCGTGAGTATGACTAAATCTGATGGTTTGGGCAGTTTGCCTCTTTATTCCCATCTCAAAAAAAAAAAAAAAAGAAAAAGGAAAGGATTTGTTTTTCTCCAAAAAGCAATGTCTTTCCCATTTTCCCTGGACTCTGCCAAGCCGTGGATGAGTGCCTGTGCTGTCCACATGGCCAGAAAACCTGAGAATTGCAGCAGTGGAGCAGGGCTGTTATTCCTGAGGACTCTGTGTGCCTGCCCATCAGCCCGAGCAGAGCAGACAAGGCTCTGAGGATTTCCTACAGTGTGAAACAGGATCAGCCACAGCTCAGAGGGGGAGGAGGGAGCTGTTTTCCTCTCCTTTCCATTCCTGCCAGTGCATGAAAGAGGTGCTGAGGCTCTTTCAAGCTGCATCCTCCTCCACCCCCTCCTTTACCCGACTCAGATCCAAACTGAGACCCTTGAGACGCTGCCAAATAAAGAGCTCTGCCATGGCTTAGAGTCTGAACCCAATCAGAAGCCCCCTTCCCATTGTGCCAGGGCTGTGCCAGTGCCAGGGAGACCCACACAAGATGCTTGCTGCTCTCCCAAAGCATTCCCTCCTTCTGCATCACCTTTTGGGGAATTCACTCTGTGAATGCCCAGGGATTTGGGCATTGCAGATTTCCTGAGATGCCACGGCAAAGCTGTTGGAATTTTAATTCATATTTTTGGTAAAGTGCAGTGGATGCTTGTGTTGGTCATGTCTGTGGGGTGGGGGAAGGGAGACTCATGCCGTGCTCTCAGTTGTGGATAGGAAGGGGAGGAAAATGCTCAAGCAGCAGACAGGCTGGTTGCTGAAATGGCTGTGCACACACATGGATGCCATGCCAGCCCTGCTGTCAGGCAGGAAGCACAGCCCCCAGCAAGGGAAAAAAATCCCTGAGCTGCCACTGCTCTGACAAGAGCCCTAAAGGCACCCTGGGATCCCATTCTGCTCCCAGAAAGGTTCTCTGTGTTCCCAGCCTGACATCCCAGGGGCTTGCCCAGCTCCCAGGAGCTGCAGAGAGCTCTCAAGCAGGGGGACACTTGGGACAGGGGGGCACTTGGGACACAGGGCCTGGGCACAGCCTGTCTGGGCCAGTGTCTGGCTTTGGCCACGGAGTGTGTTGGAGATGAGGGGGCACTACATGAGGCACTAAATCCACGGAAGGAGCTGTGTTTGCTCCTGTGCTGCTCAGTCCTTCACAGGTGTGACACCGCAGTGCACTCTGCTGTGGTGCTGCTCTTTTTTCAGGAGAAGGGGCCCCAAAAAGGGCACAGAGAGGATTAGTGACTGGCCCATGATTATGCTGAGGGTCAGTGGTGGTCAGGAGTCAATAGTTTTGAGTGTTTCAGTTCACATACTGCTTAGGGAACTGGACCTAACCTGGCCTGTGCATCTCCAGGAGGAGCTGCTGCACCCCTGCATCTTGTGGGTCTGCAGCCAGTGGCTGTGGAAGTAGATAAATAACATTTTTCCACGTGAAGTGTTGTGTTTTGCCTTCACTGTCCCTCTGTCTCATCCACAGCTTTCTGTTTATCATCCCAGCCACAGGAGATCAGGAGATGCAGCTCAGACACCCAGGGAAGCTGGATAACCCATCTTCATTCAGCTAATTTAAAATATATCCTTTGTTAACATGTTTTGTTTTTTTTTTTTTTCTCTTTTGCAGAACTTTGCCAAAGAATTTGTGATCAGTGACCACAAAGAGCTGGACGAGGATTACATCAAGAACGAGCTGAAGAAAGCAGGGGGGGCTAATTATGATGCACAGACTGAGTAAAGGCAGGAACCTCCTGGCACCATCACCTGGATCTCCGAGGGAGGGCAAAGGCACAGCAAACTAACACACCCGACAGATGAGGCAACTGAACTCCCCAGCTTTCTGTGGCTGCACCTAAGAACTCCCTTTTTTGCATACAGAAGACTTTTATTTTCCATTCTCTCTCATGAAACATTCCTTTCTGGGGCTCTGTTTTTCTTTTTTCCCCCTTTTTTTACTCCTAACTCTCTCTGTGTCCTCGCACCTGTGGAATTTAGGTTTGGCTCTGCTTTGTTCCTATTCAGTCCTGTGTTTGTAGAGGCTTGCCACTGTGTCCTTCTTCATGTCTGTGTGTTTTACTTGGGCTCAGCCTGGTCTCTGAGGGAAGAAAGTTTTGGGGGAGTTCTGAACAACGATTACTTTAATTTTTGAATTTTTTTTCTGACTGATATTCTTGGGAATAACATTATTTGCTGTTCTAGGCTCAGATCAGCTTGAGATGACTTCCCTCAAACTTTGATTAAATCATCTCAGCAGAAACGTCCAGCTGAGATGTTATCCAACAGCTTAAACAACAAAGCCAACAAACAAAAAAAATTTTTTGACTCCTGATAAATGGGAATAATTTTGCCTTAAACATTGTTTGACAGTTGCTATCCTCTGTGCTGCATCTCTGTCCCTCTCTCTTAAAAATAAGATCCACCACAATCCTAAAGTGGGTTTTGTTGCTCTTTGGAGGTATCACAGCACAGTAAACTGAGGGGCTTAGAAATGTCTGGACGCTTGGTCACTATTTTGTGTACGTTGGTCTCTGGGTTTGTATCTGACTTTGCTAATGCTGGGGCTCAGGAGGTGAAACTGAAATGCATAGATTTCCTTTTTCAATGATGTCTGAAAAACAGCCAGCTGCTGAATCCTTCCCTGCCCCTGTCCCCCTTGGTTATTCTGCAGTTAAACACGACAGCTACAGTTCCTTGGGGCCTTTGGCAGTGAGCATCCTCCAGCTGGGAGCGAGGGATGGATGGAGCAGGGCAGCTCCATCCCAGCTGGGGTGAAATATATAACAGCAGAGGCCCAGAGAGAACCTGGGCTCAGTTTGGTACCAAACTGTTTGTTTTGGGGGGCTTCTTTGTCTGGCTTTTGTTTGTCCATCCAAGGTAACTGTCCCCAGAGTTACATGTTGGGAGGGACTGTGGGGCTTGGGAGTCAGCGCTATAAATCCATTACAGAAATAAATGTTTTTCAAGAACAATTCTCAGCGACTCTGTTGTTCTTTTACCTTCCCTGTAACGAGCCTGTATTTAGGAGGTTTCTTAATCCTTGCTGTGAAGCTTTGAGCTCCTGCAATCTTGGGGCTAATTAGGAGAATTAAAGACTGGCTCAGATGTAAAATGATCCCTGCAGCCCTTGTCTGCTCGTCTCAGCTCTGAGAGGCAGAGGTGACCACAGTGCACCTGACACACTTTTTGTTCAGCAGCTCTGCTTCTCCATTTCCAGTGGCAAAATACCAAGTGGGAATTGTAATTAGGTCAAAGAGAATTTCACAGCCATGAAAAAGAGATGTAGAGAGGTCAGGAACAGATTTGGGAACAAGAATGACACTTTCAGACAATTTTTGAAGCTTCCTGCACAGAGTTACATGGGGCATTGCAGCTCTGGACAAGACTTCCTAAACCTTGCACTGAAAGAAGGGAAAATGTTTTTTACAGGACTGACAGCAGGGACAGGCAGAACTAATGGGAAGGAGCTTTGCAGAGAGCTTGTGATGCTTTGAGGCTTTGCCTTACTGGTTCAGTGACCACGATAAACTTTAATTTGATGCCCTGTGGCACAAATCTCTGCCTGGTTTTGAAGCCTGGCAGCACCATCACAAGAAATTCATCAGCACCAGCTGTGGTGGGGGCTCAAGAAAGAGCTCAGCAGAGGCAAATTAGCTTTCTCAGCCTTCAAAGGCATCTCAACAAGACAGATGGAGCACTTGTGTTGCCTTTGGCAAGTGGGTCCAGGGATGGAGGAAGAGGAGGCATCACCCTGGCTCTGGTTGCTTTGCTATCCTTAATCCAGTTCTTAGAACATGAAAAATCCCATATTCCCTCTTTGAATAATCTCTGTGGTGTACAGGCACATGGACTCTCATGGTGATCACAGGAATATCAAGTTTGCAGGCATTGGATGGTAACACAGGAGAAAAATGAGAAGGAATTACTGATTTGTAAAATGAGGATAAATCCTTGTGGGAAAAGAAAAAAAAAAAAGTAGCTTAATGAATGAGAGTCATAGCAAAGAATCAGTGGGGTTGGATTTTTTCCAACCTCAATTTCATCTTTTAGGGCAGGCTACGAGAGATACCACTCTGGTGATGTTATGAAGAACTTTGTGGGGAAAAGCTGGGGTGAGAAGCACGGGAGCACTGCTGCTGCTCTGCCTCTGGCCCCACTGGGTCAGTGCTGAAAACCCACCAGGGAGCTCTTGTTTGTCCTGTCCTGCCCCTCTGGCAGCACTGCAGGAGCCAGGTTAATCAAGCCCCTGCTTGTCAAAGCCTCAGTCAAACTGGAGATTATCTTGGTC